CGAACTGCACAATCCTCTAACCCGAACTGCAAAATTGTCGTCTTCGCAGTGCTTAGTCCTGTGAAGATTCGCGGATTGACTCGCGACTTCTTCCTTTCGACTGGAGCGAACCAAAAAAAAAAACAATGTTTCCACAACTACTCTGATGTCTGGACTAGTTGCCAAATCTTTGTTTTTTCGAAGTTTTGCATCCCAGGATTAATCCAGATTAATCCACATCAATTCTGCTTCATCCCTTCTCTAACGCATCCCAAACAATGAACTACTTTTGCTTTTAGGAGCTCTCAGCTCCCCCCCAAACAGAAAACTAAAGGATAGGTCCTGGCATTGCTGTTATCCCTAATTGCTCTCATTCGCGTGATATTTTGAGATTTCTTACTGCATTCCCCAAGGCGACAGCTTTGCCTTTGATTCATGCCAGTTTCCTTGAAGTACCCCACACTTGCTAAAAACCTTGGAAAAACAAAAAAAAAACACAATATTTCTAGACTCTTTGGAAGGGGGGGTCCCAGCCAAGATTCTATGATTTTTTTTTGTTTTTTCCAAGTTTTTTTTGTTTTGGTAACTTTCAGCCATCTGCACCTTTTTGTAGACTGTGTGTTCCAATTTGGAAATGTCCGGCCATGTCCTAGATAATAACCTTAGTTTCATGCTATACTTTTTTGAAAACCATGTTGCATAAATTGGTGGCACACTTTGCTGAAGTAATACGACCATCTTCTCAAGCATTATTGCATCATCGATGGAATCTGCTGTAGACTCATGTTACACTTTCTTGGAGGGATGCTACACAGATTTGCCAAGAAACTATTCACTTTTAAAACTGCATATACATACATAGGCACACATGTATATATATATACATACACATACATATGTGCATCTTCAAAGGAAGGCTTTCCTTGATTGACACAGATTTTGCACAGTTTGCAGTAATTAGACTTTTTTTTTTTCGAGCAAGTGCTGCACTAGTTTGAAAGAGATATTGTAGGTAGTTGTGCTACTGCACTCTTTTCATATGCATGTAGCACTTGCTTGCATTGCCATGATTATATTTGAATAAGTTTGCATTAAGATTTATAATCTATAATTACAATTTGTTGCGCATTGTTTGAAGCCATATTCTACTTTGTTCACAAAGAAAAATATTGCACATTTTGAAGACCTTTTGAAAGTCGAGTCACATAGCACCCTTTTCAAAACAAAACAACATTTCCATAGAACAGTTGTACTCTTTGAAAGGATATGCTGCAGGTGGTGCAATACTTGCTTTACAACAAAAAACACATATTTTAAAAACAGGCTTTTGCATCATCAATGGAATCTAGGGTAGGCTCTTGCTACACTTCCTTACAATAATGTTGCCCACTTTGCAAACAAGAATCTGCACTTTCAAAGGTAAAACACATGTTTCAATGTGTCAGTAAGATGGCACTCTTTTCAAAACCATGCTGTAATAATTCAAGAATAGATTCAATTTTGCAAAACAGCATACTACATTTTTCCTACAGAAATGCTATGATTTCTAAAAATCATTCAGTACATACATAGGAGGGTTCTCCTTGAAATTGGGAAGTAATGCTACACATCTTTCAAAAAATGCAACAATGTTTGCAAAAGGTTGTCGCATACATGGAGGAATGGTGTTCTTTATGCACAGTCTTTTTACAAGTGATGTTTGCATGTTTATTTTCCTTCATTGTTTATAGAGAACATATTGCATAAATTGGTGCCTGCTTAAAATGCACATTTTCTAAATGCTACTTATCTTTCAAACAGTGCTACACTTTTTGCAAAGGGACTGTTACATTGAGGAATGGCGTTCTTTATGCAAAATTAATTTACAAGTGCAGTTTGCAAATTCATTTTTCCTTCATTGTTTATAGAGAACATATTGCATAAATTGGTACCTGTTTAGAATGCACATGTCCAAAAGAACTTTTGCATATGTTGAGGGAAACTCCTGTAGAGATGTAGAGTCTATACATTTTTAAAGCAATGCTGCACTCTTTGGAAAGGCACTTACACTTGTTTGTTTTGTTGTTTTTATCTATTATTCATGTTTGCTTTGGCTGAAACTATGTATCTATGTAGGACATTAGGAGAGCTGTTGAGAATGCACAGTGGTTGCTTTTGTTACAGAAGCAACAATGTTTGGTTCTGGAAAGAACAGGGTTTGGTATCTTTTGCAGAAATGAAATGTCAAAAATGCAAACATTTTGGCGCCCACAACACCCCCCCTCCCATATATATATATATATCAACTAGCATCACCAAACACATATCCGCCGACCCCGCCGATGGCAAGGGGGGGCGCGTCAGAGAAGACATTGCCATCAGCCAGGGGCAAGAAACGATGAGAGCAAGAGTTGACGGGCTGGAAGGTAGGCAAGCAAATGGAAGGTTTGAAGTTTGAAGCTAGTTTCTAGGCAGTTCAGAAAGCAACGTTTGGCACTCTGGACTGCCGGCCGCGGGCCCGATCCGTCCTTCACTGCCATGGTGTTTTGGCGCTGCGACATCGCCGTTTGGAGGTCGACGAAAGCGAGCAATGGGCTGCCAGCAGTGCAGCAAGGCAAGCAAATGGGCGGCTGGAAGGTAGGCAAGCGAATGGAAGGTTTGAAGTTAGGCAGTTCAGAAAGCAACGTTTGGCACTCTGAGATGCCGGCCGCGGGCCCGATCCGTCATTCACTGCCATGGTGTTTTGGCGCTGCGACATCGCTGTTTGGAGGTTGACGAAAGCGAGGAAGTGGGCTGCCAGCCAAGCAGTGCAGGAAGGCGAGCACATGGGCGGCTGGAAGGTAGGTAAACAAATCGCCAAAACACCATGGCAGTCGGGCCCGCGGCCGGCAGCCCATATATTCTGACCTGCCTATAAGCTAGCTTCAAACCTTCCATTTGCTTGCCTACCTTCCAGCCGTCTTCCTGCACTGCTGGCAGCCCACTTGCTCGCTTTCCTCGACCTCCAAACGGCGATGTGGCAGCGCCAAGGCACCATAGCAGTGAAGGACGGATCGGGCCCGTGGCCGGCAGCCCAGAGTGCCAAACGTTGCCTTCTGAACTGCCTAACTTCAAACCTTGCATTTGCTTGCCTACCTTCCAGCCGCCCATTTGCTTGCCTTCCTGCACTGCTGGCAGCCCACTTGCTCGCTTTCGCCGACCTCCAAACGGCGATGTCGCAGCACCAAAACAAAATGGCAGTGAAGGACGGATCGGGCCCGCGGCCGGCAGCCCATAGTGCCAAACGTTGCTTTGTGACCTGCCTAGCTTCAAACTTTCCATTTGCTTGCCTACCTTCCAGCCGCCCATTTGCTCGCCATCCTGCACTGCTGGCAGCCCACTTGCTCGCTTTCGTCGACCTCCAAACGGCGGAGAAGCAGCGCCAAAGCAGTGAAGGACGGATCAGGCCCGCGGCCGGCAGCCCAGAGTGCCAAAGGCTGCTTTCTGGGCCACAGATCATTGTCCACACACAGTGCATCGCGACTTTTCTACCTTTTCGCCACCTGCATCGTCTTTCTTCTGACACTTTCTCTTCTCTGATCTTCTTGCTTCTTCTCTGCTCTTCTCTGACTCCTCCCATCTCTGCTTTTCCATCTGTCCCTCTTGTGCGAAGTTTGACTTCGAAACTTCCTTTGCTTGTGCATACATTTTAGATGTTCTGTTGCGATGAGACAGCACAAGAAGCAAGCGACGAAACAAGATTGCGCACCTGCACCAGCGTCCGTTGGTCGCTCAGTTTCCCACAGACATGAACCTCCAGTGTCCAGGGGTCGGCGGCAGAGGGCGTAGCCCTTTACTATCATCAAGTGTTCATTACAATGAAGGAAATCCTCCATGGACAGACTTACTAGTGACATCTAGTGACCATGTTATGCTCAAAGTCACCACATGGCTACCCGATGTTGACTACTGTTGACTGAGTTCAGATATGTTCAGATGCACAACTGAGTTTCATGGTCGTCCCGAATCGTCTCGAGTTGTCCCGAGTCGTCCCGAGTCGACGTTCCACAGTGAGCTGGGAGGAGCCTCCACAGATCCAGCTTGGCTAGTCCAATCAATATTTGGCTAGGCGAAGCTTGCGATCGAAAACGAGTCAAACGAGCAATGACACCAAATTTTTACGCGAATGGACAGCAATGGCCTGCATCTATTACGTCTACATCTATCAGCACCCAATCAACAGTGCAACATGACTCTGGTGAACCTGGTGTTTTCTGCCCGGCCCAGTCAAAATACTGAGCAACTGTGCAGGGCCCAGTCAAAGTACTGAGCAACTGTGCAGGGAGCGGGAGTAGGTGCAAGCAACAGAGAACAGTGCCAAATACAGAAGTTTTGTCTGCAACCAGAGCTGCAAATGGAAGAAAGAAAACGAGATGCAACTGGTGAGTGTGAGTGAATCAATTAATATCAACACTGGTTGGTGGTTTCAACCCCTCTGAAAAATGTTAATCAGCTGGGATGATTATTCCCAATATATGGAAAAATAATCAAAATGTTCCAAACCACCAACCAGAACAAAACACATCACGGTTAAAAACTCCGCATCGCTCCCGGCTTCAGCAAGAGCCAAATCTCCATCTTGCAAAGTCTGCAGGGGTATCCCGGCATGATGCGATGTAAAAACGAATCTAGCTGGGTCCCTGCAGGGATCCACAGATATCCCTTCTGTAAATCGATCTGCAAAGACGCTTGCATCAACACTGTCAAGAGGCATTGAATCCATGAGGTTCTGGGTGTGTTCAGCATAGGGAAAAAAAGGCAACCAAACTGTATCAATACAACATAATTCAGCTATTAATGGGTCGATGCAAGGCGTAGGGCTGGAACGTGTGCGTCAATGTGCGCCCATGTGCGTCCAACAGCGTCATTGTAACCGCAATTCGCGAGTCCAGCGCTCTGGACACGGAGGACAAGTTCATCTCAAGGCAATTTGACAATGGATTGCGAATCCAACCCTGCAGAGACATTGCCACCTTGCTTCACACTGTCCTTTCAAACTGCACTCATAACCAAAATGATTGGTTTGGTTCAGTGTAGACAGTGACATCGATTTGACCACTTGCCAACAAGTTGGAGGGATCATAAACGTTTGAGCCATGGCCGCCAAGGTTATAGCTGCTCGAGCCACCTGTTGGGGCGCTGCCATGGGAGCTTCGTGAGCCATGGCTCGGGCCAGCAAGGTCTACGGCTTGGCCACATGCACCCGGCTCTGCCTGCGACGTCTCACCCGTCCTGGTGCAGGCAAGGCGGCAACATGCCACGATCACAGCTGAGAAACTTTGGTAAACTCAACCAGACTAAATCAGACTAGCTTCAATCAAGTGAAATCCTGTAAACCGCCACATCATCAAAAAAATCTCGACATTTTCACACAAGAGAACACTTCCCCATACCTCCCCCGCCTCCTCTTCTGCCTGCGTGCAGCCTGCTGCAGCTGTCGCCTTCTTGCCTTTGCTTGCTGAGCATTGCAGAAATGGCAGTGTCTGCATTCATCACCTTTGAAGCAACCTGCTGGCTTCAGAGCGAAAGCTATACAAGGAAAGCATTGCCCCAAGTTGTGCAGCTGTAGCTGGTGTATTTGCCAACTCGGCCCGGGCATCCGTGGCATCCCTTCCAAGAGCCCGCTCCGATCGTGACTCGCATGACCCGCATGACCCGCAGCACCCGCATGACTCGCATGACCCGCATGACCCGCAGGACCCGCAGGACCCGCAGGACTCGCATGACTCGCATGACTCAGACGACCCACACGACCAAAGACGCCGCCCTTTCCGTGGGCGTGGTGTGTCTGGTGTGTCTGGGTCTGGCTCTGGCGCTGCGGCTGCATCTCTCCATTGGTCTGCATTGCCAACACGGGATAACACGGGTATCTTGGACCAAAACTGGCAGATGGCAGAAGTCAGTGTTCAAATGTTCGCAGATGTTCGCAGTCTGCCGTGATCAAATTCACTCAACGCAGATCTTCTTTGCTACGCCTGCTATTCACATGTGTGACTGGAGAACAAGTTATAGCCCCGACAAAAACATGGAATTAGCGGCTCGAAAAAGGAAAACTATAGCGTTGTGTGACTGCCTCTGCATGCAACTGGCGGCCTGCATTCGGAGCAAATCGAGCTGGGCCATCACCTGCACCCCAGTGTTTGCTGTTTTGCTGGCTTCTCAAAAAGCGACTTAGAATAGGAACTGTGTCAACTGAACATCTACATGCAGCATTCAGCAGCATGAAAAAAGTTGGTCAATGTTGGTCAAAAACATCCCGCCGGATCGAAAACCGTGCTCACGAAAATAGAGTTTTTCAAAAAAAAATGTGTGTTTTACCACAGCGAGGTAACTATTTGTGTCACTGGAAAAGTGACAAATTTGGACGTCCAAATTTGGGTGCTTTTTGGGGAAATGTTGTTTTCGCCAGAGTAAAACACAAATTTCTTCTTCATTTCGATCGGACAAAATGAGGCATCCTTTTTTTCACTCTAGTTTTTTTGCAACATGCCTGCATTCCAGAGATCTCGGCAGCGTAGCAACATGTAACGTAGAAAGCATTCCAGAGATCTCGGCAGCGTAGCAACATGTAACGTAGAAAGCATTCCAGAGATCTTGGCAGGGTAGCAACATGTAACGTAGCAAAGCATTCCAGAGATCTCCGCAGCGTAGCAATGTCGCCAGCATTCCAGAGATCTCGGCAGCGTAGCAAGGTAGCAAGCATTCCAGAGATCTCGGCAGCGTAGCAACATGTAACGTAGAAAGCATTCCAGAGATCTCGGCAGCGTAGCAACATGTAACGTAGAAAGCATTCCAGAGATCTCGGCAGCGTAGCAACATGTAACGTAGCAAAGCATTCCAGAGATCTCCGCAGCGTAGCAATGTCGCAAGCATTCCAGAGGTCTCGGCAGCGTAGCAAGGTAGCAAGCATTCCAGAGATCTCGGCAGCGTAGCAACATGTAACGTAGAAAGCATTCCAGAGATCTCGGCAGCGTAGCAACATGTAACGTAGAAAGCATTCCAGAGATCTCGGCAGCGTAGCAAGTAACCATTCCAGAGATCTCGGCAGCGTAGCAACATGAAGCGTAAGAAGCAAGCAATTCCAGAGATCTCAGCAGCGTAGCAACATGTAACGTAGCAAAGCATTCCAGAGATCTCGGCAGCGTAGCAACATGTAACGTAGCATTCCAGAGATCTCGGCAGCGTAGCAACATGTAACGTAGAAAGCATTCCAGAGATCTCGGCAGCGTAGCAACATGTAACGTAGCAAAGCATTCCAGAGATCTCGCAAGCAGTCGCAGCAGATCTCGTCAGCGTAGCAAGGTAGCAAGCATTCCAGAGATCTCGGCAGCGTAGCAACATGTAACGTAGAAAGCATTCCAGAGATCTCGGCAGCGTAGCAACATGTAACGTAGAAAGCATTCCAGAGATCTCGGCAGCGTAGCAACATGTAACGTAGCAAAGCATTCCAGAGATCTCGTCAGCGTAGCAATGTCGCAAGCATTCCAGAGATCTCGTCAGCGTAGCAAGGTAGCAAGCATTCCAGAGATCTCGGCAGCGTAGCAACATGTAACGTAGAAAGCATTCCGGAGATCTTGGCAGCGTAGCAATGTCGCAAGCATTCCAGAGATCTCGTCAGCGTAGCAAGGTAGCAACTTCCGAGAGATCTCGGCTAGCGTTCAACAGAACGTAGAAAGGCATCCGGAGATCTTGGCAGCGTAGCAACAATGTAGAAAGCATTCCAGAGATCTCGTCAGCGTAGCAAGGTAGCAAGCATTCCAGAGATCTCGGCAGCGTAGCAACATGTAACGTAGAAAGCATTCCGGAGATCTTGGCAGCGTAGCAATGTCGCAAGCATTCCAGAGATCTCGTCAGCGTAGCAAGGTAGCAAGCATTCCAGAGATCTCGGCAGCGTAGCAACATGTAACGTAGAAAGCATTCCGGAGATCTTGGCAGCGTAGCAATGTCGCAAGCATTCCAGAGATCTCGTCAGCGTAGCAAGGTAGCAAGCATTCCAGAGATCTCGGCAGCGTAGCAACATGTAACGTAGAAAGCATTCCGGAGATCTTGGCAGCGTAGCAACAAGTAACGTAGAAAGCATTCCAGAGATCTCGTCAGCGTAGCAATGTAGCAAGCATTCCAGAGATCTCGGCAGCGTAGCAACATTTACTGTATGCACTAGACAGAACGTTAACACCCCCACCACACCCCACCATCCCCCCCACCCCACCCCAACATAACCCACGACGTCCCGTTAGCAAAAATGTACGTTTTATGAGCACGGTTTTCGATCCGTAGGCGAAAACATGTTTGTTTTGACCCAGCCCACCTGGAATTCAACGCGACAGGGAAGACTACAGAGATGGTCTGTGTAATAAGAGTCTTGGTAGTCTCCCAAACAAACGCAGTCATCTCCCCTTATCCAAATTTCGTGCCTTCAACCAATTGCATTCCATGAGCGCCTTGCGACCCCTACGTCAAGCTGCTTCAGCGCTACAACTTTGTTTCTTCGCAAGCTTTGGTGATGGCCAACAACGTACAAACTAACGGTAAAATATATGCAACCAAAGCCGCGCCTGAGCGGGTGGCAGATGGTGACATATGGTGACAGCTAGTGATGTCGATCTTGGAAACTTTCTGGGACCGGTCCATCTCTGTCTATCTGTTTCCGCCTGGCGATCTCATGTGCCCGAGGAAATATTGAACCTCGATGTCGTGCTCGTTTTTTTGAAGGATCTCATAGCTACTACAGGAGTCATTGGCAAATACATGTCAAATAACGATCTCAAAGCTTTCAATCACTGTTAATGTTTGGCTCCAAAGTGCTTGGATGTAACGTTACGATACGTTACGTATGCCTGGCAGTCCTGAAATTTGACAGGTCCAGACTGCCAATGTCAGAGGCACAAGCTTGAAGCCACAAGAATGAGTCGGCAAACACAGCAGTCTTTTCTCGAAGCGGAAGGCCTAAGATGGCCTAAGTACCATTGGTTTTGACACTTCCGTGTGTATCTGCAACTTGTTGAATACTGTGTGTCTGTGTTGCCCATCTGTACATCGTTTCTGCTTTTGAAGGGATTTCAAAGCCACGAAACCCCAGGTCAGTATTGTCAAACAGTCTCATGAGGGCGCTTTCAAACCCAACAGACTAATATTAATTATATATATTATATATAATTAGGTTGGACCAGCGCATGGAAATTCACCTATAGTTCAAATCTTCGAAACAATCAAACAAAGGGAGAAAATTGCGGCAATGAGAATTTCTATAACATCAAAGGTCCAAAGATGTCCCAAGAATCTGCTGCATTGCCCCAGCTCCAGCTATCTCCAGCTGCTCCAATCTTTCAAACAACGCAAAGGTAAACGATCTTTCACTGTCCGTGAGCGCTTTAGCATGCTTTTAGCACTGTAAGTCAAGGAGAGACCAGCGAACATCGTTACCATCTCAAATGGGTGCGAAGATCGCTCGCATCTCTTGCGGCGATTTCCAGGAAATGCTCAGTTTTCTGCTGAATCTGCAATGGTGCATTAATGGTGCATTAATGGTGGAGATTGAATCATTAAAAAATGAATATCACTAAATATCACCAAAGATTTTTCACCCAATATCTTCTGAATATATCGGAAAATGACAGAGGCACAGAGACTCTAAGAGACATCTATGGCTGATATCGCACATAGGTCTCCTTGGAGCTGTACATTTGTTCAATTTGTTTGATGAAAGCCTTCTCCACAATTGGACGTTTCAATTTCTTCGTGGGTGTCAAATAGCCAGCGTCTTCGGAGAAATTCGTGGGCAAAATCATGAACTTCTGAATCTTGAAGGCCTCCGGTCTGACAATCTGGAGGAAAAGCACCATGTTTCGCGGCGCGGCCAAAAATGCGAGTGTCCATCTAAGAATTCACAACACAAGGTGCCAAGGGAAGCTTGAAAGAAGGATTTATATAGATGGATTTAGTTTGGGGGTTTCCTAAAATAGGGGTACCCCAAATCATCAATTTTAATAGGATTTTCGGATTTTCCATTATAAACCAACCATTTTGGGTATTCCCCATTTCAGGACACCCCTATTAAGCAACAAATCCAAGCTGCGTTGTTGGGGCAACACTTGCCGTTGTTGTTAGCCGAGGTCACCGCTGCAGTCACGGCATCGATCCAAACCTTGCCAAACAGAAGATCAAAGTCTCTCGGTGTTGTTGTTCATGACAATCCAAACAATCCAGCTATCAGAAACTATCATACAAGTGCAGATGAGTGGATGTTGGAATGTACTATATATATACATATTATATATATATATATTACACATATTCAGCATCTTGTGATGCAACATCACAGCTGACATCTGCCAGATGTTCCGTCGATTTTCCCTTCCAATCCATGACATTCGCCTTGTCGTCCATGGCTGCACTGATGGTCTTAACTTCCGGATTGACCCGCTTGGCGCCGGCATCCAAGTCGTCCGTGCCGGGAACTTCTCCATTGGCCCCCACGGCCTGCTGAAGAGTGGCTGAAAAGAAGGGAAACAGAGGGAAACCAAGAGGGAAAATAGCTGAACATCAACTGAACATCCTGGAGTTCCCAGAAAATCCCAGAAAGAGTATGAACGAGTTGTGTTCCGAAAGTGGAAAAACAGAGCTGCCTTCAAGGTAATGAGGGCCACGTTGTATTTGCGTTTGTCGCCCACCATCATCACCTTTCAGATGGTCGCTCCACTTGGCTCCACGTGTCGGAAACTCTCTTGAAATCTCGGGAAGCTGGGGGTTTCCTAAATTGGGGCTACCTCAATAGCTCACTGGATGGTGAAAAATCCCGATCGAAAATGGATGATATTGGATGATTACCCATGACGGATCCATGGTGCTGGTATATTAATGCTAACATTTTGGCTATATTGATGGGATCCATGTTACCACTTGTTACATAGCAGCACCAGCCGGATCCGTCATGGGTTAGGGCTACCCCCATGACGAAACGGAAAGCCCCGTTAGGGAACCCTGTCCCAGCGGCCTCGTTGATGCCATCGCAGTGGGCCTTCACGTGATCTTCGATGGGCACCGGAGCGATGTTTTCGCCTCCGTCGCCAATGATCAGCTCCTGGCTGGAGATCCCAAAAATCCCAGAGATCCTAGGAATAAGACCAGAATGCCAAAGTTCAACAGGTTTTGATAGATTTGAAAATCGATTTTAATATATTTTAAATGATAGATTTTAATATTTTATATGTTATATATGCTTGAAATGATGTGTTGATGTTCTTTTTGAATGGCTTTTAAGCCATTCATCGGAATCACCGCTGTTGGGATAAACCGCTGTGTCCTTGAAGCGCCCTGTGATCTTCACCATGCCAGTGTCCGTCATGATTCCTGGATCCCAACTCACTCGGCCATGTCTCAAAGTTCAGATGAAAAATGGCCATCTGATCTCGCGGGGAATAGCATGGAATACCCCATGGAATTACCATATATTCATCCATTTTAACCCTTCTCTATCACTAGATATCACATGATTTCACTAGTCTTTAAGTTGCCATGTTGATCAGCCCACAATCGCGCCGCGCCTTTGTCTCCCGTATGCATCCAGCCCTCGGCATCGATGGCTTCCGCCGTCTTCTTTTCGATCTCCTTGATGTGAGCTGGGCCAAAGTCTGGCTGGGCCATGTATCCCATCCTCACTTCAGCTGCGATTCTGATGCGACTTCGCATGAAATCACTCATAAAATCACATGACTTGACATGATTTCAAAATCTTCAAATGAATTGAATAGACTTTGTCTCGGTTGAAACATGTTGCCCTGGCAAAGATAAACACCGCAATGCGCCCTTCCGGCCATGGGTTGATGCATCTGATGGACGCTTCTTGGGTCCCTCCAACTTTGATTTCCCAGCGAGTGTCATGATGGTTCGGCCCCTGAAGCAAATCTCACCTGCCAGATGGTTGCAACTCAGAGACTCAGAGTACAACTTGCGGAGCGCATGTCCAACGATGCCAACGACAATCAGCTGAAAGAAAACTAACTGCCACATTTCAAAGCGAAGAAGCCATATTTGATCATATTTGCATTGGGTCCGCAGGCATTGAAGAATGATAAGCGACTAGGGAAGACTCCGGATGACAACAAAGATGACAAAAAGGATGACCTTGAAAGAGCTCGTCGGTGGTGTCAAGGCTGGGTGCTGCTGGGCACTGGGTCTTCTTGTTGATATCCGCATGATCGACCTTGAAAACTTTCACCTCTAGTCCAGCAATTTGAAAGCCGCAGGAGCCCCACGCATGGCAAGCGGGTGTGGAGATTGTAGAGCAGCCGTGACTTTCCTGGAAGCAACAAATGCCACTTCACTTAAATGCCACAAGGCATTGACTAACAAACACCACGATGAAAACAAAAACTCGCAGTTCCATGCAATTTCTATAGTTAATTGACATCCTGACAAGCATGACAAATATGACTTAAGATCCAATTCTCATCATCACATATTTTGTCCAAATCCGCCGTGGTACTGACATGCCGTACAACTCATGGATGTCCAAGCCCAACGATCCAAAGTACTCCAAAGTGTCCACACGGATGGGAGCAGCTCCTGACCCATCGAAGTATGCTGTGGCATGCTGTGACATGCTGTGACACTGCAACTAAGTGATGCGGGTTGGGATCTCTTGAGAATTGTTAAGTTGAATTCTTGGGATCTCTTGGAATCTGCTGGAAATCGGACAAACTCCCAAACTCCTGTAACGGCATACTTCAGTTGATCCAACCCCAGAGCGGCTTTCACTTTGCTCAAGACCAACATGTCTGCCAGAGTGTAGCCCGTTGGATAAGACCCATCGCCTGCCATGCAACTTTCACTGCAACTTTGTGTCCATATGTTTCCATGGTTGGAGAGTTTAGCTAGCTTGGCAAAATCAAAAACCAGCTGGTCATAGTGTTACAATGCTGCTGCAATGCTGCTGCAATGCTGCTGCAATGCTGTTGCAATGCTGTCGCAATGCCGTGAGCCCTGCCTCCCATCAAACAGGCCTTGGATCTTTGCAGGCCAAGATCTTTAGCCCAGGTGCCGATGGTCTGCTTCAGTCCTGCGACGCCAGCGTGATTTTGGATGGCGAGAAAAAACAAGAAACGACAAGACTTCGAAAATACATCGAACACATTCTGTCGCTATCCAAAAGTTGTTTCTTTTTAAGAAACATTTCAAGATGAGCAGAGAAAACAGCTGCTTGCGCTTGGAATCGTCCTGAATTGGCTGCTCCCAAGGATCGAAGTTTGTCAGCAATCCTCCAGCTCCATTGGAATCATTGGAATCAGGTCATTGGATGAGCTGCCAGGGATCATCGGCGCAGAAATCATCGAACTGTGTTCAAATGTATAAACATGTATAAACAAACATCAAAGAACCTGATCCAAACAGCTATTTTATGTCTCTGAATAATTCATCTTTAATGTCTTTTTGTGATGTTTCAATGTTAAGGCAAGACAGCTTTCATAGATTTTCTCAGACTTTGCTAAGAGTCTTCTCCCACACCAATGGCACGGCGAGCATAAGAGTCGGTGAGGCGGCGCACAGCCGATCTTTCAGGGTCCCTGCTTTCATGTCATAGGGCCGGGCAAAGTAGGTCGTCATCTCAGCCAACTTTGCACGGCGAGAACGAGCTGAGCTACGAAGACTGACTGAAACACAGGAGATATGAAGAAAGATGAGCAAATATGAACAAATATGATACACATTTAATGTAATATAATATAAGATATATATAAGCAACCTGAATCAAAATCAAAACATTTCGAAACTTCTGTTGATCACAGAACCTGGACAGGAAATCACATCCGGATTTGACATCACAAGTTGACGCTCAATTTTTTTTGACGGAGCCCGTTGCGGCCGAGTTTCGTGATTGGAGCTCAATGCTGTAAGCACCGCAGGCCTCGGAAAAGCAATTTTTTGGGGCAATTTTGGCCCGCCATGATGACAAATCGTCAGCGCTGAGCATTTCACATGGTGATGTCCACGGCCATACCAGCAATGTGCGAAAGGGGCAAATAGGACAAAAGGCGCTCTTGACACTCTCCCTCGAGAAAGCCTGGAGCGCCTGAAAAAAAGAATCTGAATGGAATATGGAACTATGTATCATGATGTATCATGGCCGTCGAAGTTTTTTCTACAGCCCACCGGGCCTACCTTGTTTCAGTGTGGTCATGAATACAGACACTCCCGCGTAGTGCACATTGTCGTGGGAGAGCATCACTGCCTGTGAGGAATGTTTTGGAGCCATTTTGGTCCGCTGGCTTGGTGTTTTCACATGTCATACCAGGAAGAGCATGGCAATTTTGAACAGTCCAAATCCATCCAGTTTTTTCGGTTCCAGCTATACACATGTCACCATGGTGTGAAAAAACCATGTTCATCCAACTGTTCACAACTTTTCAGAGTGTTCAGAGCCATGAAAATCATGACATCTATGGGAACATGGGAACAATTTGCCATCTTATTCACCATGTTCATCCAACTTATCATTCGCGAATAACATTGTCCCATAGAACAGATAAATCATTTCATGGTATTTCATGGTCATGTAGAAGATAAATCATTGACCCATGGTTAACTTATCATATCCAACTCATCCAACCGGTGAAATCGGGACCAAAAAATCCCCAAAAATCCTCCGCCACCGTCTCCGCACCTTGGGATCTCCGGTGGTGCCGGAAGTGTAGACCAGCACAGCACATTGTCCCGGCTTCAGCGCCTTGGTGCGTTGATCCACTTCACCATCGCTCTCCTTGCCTTGGGCAGACCCCGGGACCCCGGGGGAAGACCCCCGGGGGTCTTCCCCGGGAAGACCGGGAAGGAATGGCCGGAGAATCTGAGGAATCTCAGGGAATCTGAGGGAATCTGATCAACAAATGATGAAAGATGATGAAAGACTATGAAAAATGAATAAATAAATAAAAACACAATGATGAAAGAGGCATGGAACGGCAGAAGTCGATCATCGATGATGAAAAATGATGAGGAATAACATTCCCATGACGGATCCATGGTGCTGGTATATATGCTAACATAAAGGGGGTATATTGATGGTAAAATATGGGATCCATGTTACCATATATAGCAGCACCATGGATCCTATGACATTCTGAGTCCCCGAATCATCGTAACCCCGTCATGCCAAGCTGCCTCCCATCTCGATCACGTCACTCCAACTCAGCACTGGGACCTTCCGGCCCTTGACGTCCACAGTCTCTCCTGTGCTCCATGCAATGGACATCAAACATCGAGCATTTGCTGTATCATTGATGAATGTGACATTACTGTGTATTGATGAAAAATGGTTTCGAGATGTTTCGAGTATTTTGGATATTGGTGGTTTGGATATCTGGTGATCACCAAAACGACCAACTGGTGATATATGTAACATTACTGAATGTAACATTACTGCATTTTGGATATCTGTTGATCACCAACTTGGCTGAAAATGGCTGAATTCAAAGTCGTGGGAAGCCGTGGCGCCTGCAGCCGGAGTGTAGCCGTAGGTCACAAAGGCCTTGACCCTGGGAGGCTTGGCGTCTTGACGCGCTGCTAAGGCCTCACAACGTCCAAGAAAATTATAGGTGATATTGACATGATAATTATAGGTAATATTATATGATTATTATTAATTATAGGTAATATTATAGGCCTCACTGTTCATAATCAATTTTAATTGTTAGATTATTGTTAATATATTTTATAAACTATATATACTATAAACATCTATAAACATCATTGTACCGTAATGTGGATTATTGATTTATTAGGTGCTGATACTTCAATAGGGATGTCACGAGATGTCAGAGAAGCCTTCAGCTTCAAGGCGCGTGTGACGTGGCATGGCGTGACGTGCATGGCATGACCAGCCTTCAGCAGTTTATCCAACTTGGGTTTGTCTTCAAAGACAACGATGCTCGCCTCAAAGGGCATGAGGGCATGCTTTGTAAACGAGCTGCGAATTCTAATACCCATGACGGATCCATGGTGCTGGTATATATGCTAACATGACTGGGGTATATTGATGGTAAAATATGGTAAATGTGACCATATATAGCAGCACCATGGATCCTATGGGATAAGATGCATGAAAGAATACAAACTTCAAGGACATGATAGCCATGATGTCCATCCTGCAAAAAGGATTGGCCAAAGATGCACCTGCTATACTTACTTACGCGCAGACACCGTCGTTTGCCCATATAGAATCATATAGACAACATGGTGTCTGCGCGCATGTGTAGAGTACAATTTGTATATATGGACATGTTCTCCTATTTCCAGGAAGGGGCTATGCACACGGGCACCATAACCCTTGCTACTTGTTGGGGTTCGGGGGATGATGATGATGATGATGATGATGATGATGATGATGATTGGGATTTGGACACCAATTCGGGACACAGGCAAACAATGGCATCTGGCCGTATACTTTCTATACTTGCTTGTTATTCCAGGTTTTTTTTTACAATCAAATGAATTACTATACCGGCTATACGGACTATACTGGATATACCGTAAAAAGATATATAGATATATTATATATTCTATATATTATTATTATTATTATCTATTAATCTATTATATTATTATATTATATATAGATATATAGATATATATAGTACATCCAGATGCATCTCCAAGCCATGTGACTCCGCTGTGTGCCACCTTAAATGCCGCCGTCTCGGGTGTGTCCGTTGGATAGAGACCACCAGCCATGCCACCTGCCATCATGGCAGCGAAGGTGCTGAACATCCACTCCGGAGCGTTGAAACCCCACATGGCCACAGCATCAAAGGGTTGGTGCCCCAGCTTAATGAACCTCGGCTGATCACAGCAATGTTAAAAAAGTTGTGGATGTTGATGTAACGTGTTGCATCATGAAGGTACATCATTGCGAATTGGAATCTGTTGAATCTCATCTGATATTACTGGACAAACTAAATTATTCGGATATGATCTTTTAATATCAATCAAAAGTTGCTCGAGAAACCCCTTGGCTGCCTTTCTCGACTCATCGTAGTGCTGCTTCCATGTCCACGTCTTCCACTGATCATCGGGCAGAGACTCTGGTGCCTTTCCTTCAGAATCCAAGGGTGGCAATGGCCTCTCGATTTTCAGGGCGGGTTTGTCCCACTTGGTCTCAGCTGCCTCAAAAAATCACGGAGCGATCTGCACCGTAGAAACAGAAATCAAGAGTAGAAACTAACAGTGGAAAGTAGTGGAGATCCAATCAAATCTCTAGTTCACATATTGTTCACATATTGTTCACATATAATATGTTTTTCCTTTTCTCAATATCATTCAATATCTGTTCCATCTAAAAAAATGCTATGTTACAGATAAGTGACCCTCTTCAAGAGCTCGGGCAGAGTGGTGGGAACACATCCTTCTCTGCTGGCAGGGCCCTTTTTGGCAAAGCGTTCCACATGGAGGCCATCCGGCTTGCAGGTGTACCAGGGTCCAGGTCCAGCATAGTCGCAATAGTCATCCTTAAAAAGCAACAAAGAGATACCAAAAGATCAAGCAGATATCAAGCAGCTGTTTCATGCTGGAAGTGTCCAAATTGTACCTGTAATGATCCTGCAATGTATTGGCACATTGACAATATATGACAATATTTGACCATTGACCATACTATGACCATATTATGACCATATTATGACCATATTATGACCATATTATGACCAGACTATGACCATATTATGTCTAAATCTGCCGAATGGCTCTGTCTTTGGACACTGGGGCTTCGGAGAGGACCGGAGTTTCGCAGCTGTTCACGCTTCCCATGGCCCTCTTCGCGTTTACGCCAAGCGGTCGGGAAGCGAACGATGGGGGCGAGACGGGTTGAGTCTTCAGTCTGAAATGGGACATGTGGCGGTCATAATATGGTCAAATATGGTCAGAAATTATGACCATCTATGGCTCAAATATCTGATCATGGTGCAACTGGACAAAAAATGATAGACATGCTGAATGTCGAGGGATTCGACTGCCCAAATTTCCTGAATCCATCGTGGGACTCTATCCCACTATGCACGCACTCTACTCAATGAGTTTCACCAAAAATAACCCAAGAAACGCCCATTTGGACCTATTCAAAACCCAGGCAGTGCAGGCGCAGAAAATCGACATTCTGTGACATCCCACATCGCCATCCCATGGCATCGCCATTGGATCAGTAGATCCAGGGGATCTATGGTGGCCCATTGGCTCCAAGAGTGGCTGCCCTCAAGTGGACTCGGGGTGCTCATGGAAAATGTTGGAAAATGTTGTTTGCCAGTTGCACGTTCTGGACGGAACTGTCTTTTGACAAGCGCGCCACTTCCATGCCAAAGTCTTGGCAATCTCATCAGTCGACTACTCGCTGATGCATCCGGCGACGGCTAGAAGATGCGTACTTACATGCACCTTGTCGTGCCAAGCCGTTGAGTAGGCGATACCTTTGGTGTTGCAATCCGGCCGGCGGATGGCATCTGGATTGGAGTTGAGCGAAGCCTCAGGGTTTCACAATCCAAGTTGCAAAGCCGCTCAAGTTTCTACACAAATGTGTCGAAAAATGATGAGTGGATGACCATCGGCCACATATGACATCATATGACCACATGTCGAAAAATGATGACGACTACGACCACACAATGTCTCAGTCCCAGGTCCCATGGGTTTCATGAAACACTTCAAGTGACGCGTTTCGGCCAAGTCATGCCAAGTCCCCATAAGTCACCCAAGTGTTACAGTTTCTAAGGACTTCTCATATTGCCAGTAGCCTACCAGTAGCCCTGGCGCATCCAAATGCACACATTGACATGGTCGTTTTCTCATGTTTTCTCCACATCTTCACGTGTTAAGTGCATCCGCCCAAGGCACTTAGGAAAAATAATGTGTTCACACATGTTCACAGTAATTTGCTTCCTGCAGGCTACCATTTAAGTTGCAAAACCTTCAAAAAATGCGACCGTAGGGAAAGTGGGGCGACGGGTTGTTGATGTAGTTTATCCACCGGTGTACGGGGAGGCTGCTATAGGGTTTTCACCGCATCAACAAACAACATATTTCAATTTGCCACCAAGGTACCGATTGGCCATCAAACATAGCAACGTGAACCTTCCCCAGCATCGGTCTGCCATGGCCAAGCTCAAAATGCTTGACCAACATGGCCGAAAATTTGGTTAGCCAACATGCGGGCAGCATTCAAAATCCCCATCAATGTTGTGGCGCCCCGAAGAGAAAACCCAGAGGCTGTTAAAGCTATACGAAAGCAAATTGATACAACAACCAATTTGGTTGGCTGAATTCAAGCGCATTTCCTGTGGCAGGTGTGGGACGTGCATTAGTAAATTAGTGTAGATATGCCTGAGTTTAGATAGTGTTTTGAGAGAAATGTGTTTTTTCTTTAACCAGCGTTTCCAGCTCGTTTGGAAGCAAAACATGTATCACATGTTTGAACCACACATTTTGTCATGTTTATCGTTTTCATTTGCAATGTCATTTGTATCTGCAAGATGAAAATGTGGCGTGGGAGAATCTACGGATGATATTCTGAATTGTTGTTTACTTCAACCCATTTCAACCCTAAATTTGTTTCTTGTTTTTTTGCCTCTCGCTATGATGCGACATGTTGTTGTAAACAGGGTGTTTTCGAACGACTTCAACGGTTACAAAAGGGATCCTGGCTTCATCATCAACAATCTCATAAGGCTCAGTTTGAAGAGGAAGCTGGCCGCCACGCTGGCTAAAACAATCATACACCCATTTTCCTGGGAATGGTTGGTAAACATACCAACCAAACAATGGTGATGACTGGGACTTGGGGATGGTGGAATTTGTGTTTTTCTTCCACATCAAATAGCGCCTGCGCCGAGGCAAGCTCAAGAGGATGCATCACCTCTCGGCTGGGAGGAACATTATGGAACATCATGGATCCCATGACGGATCCGGCTGGTGCTGGTATATTAATGCTAACATGAATGGGGTATATTGATGGTATATTGATGGTAAATGTTACCATATATATAGCAGCACCATGGATCCGTCATGGGGATGACAGATGTTGAAAGAACTGTTCCAAAATAACACATCGGATGGCTGGATTTACCCTGGATAAACACCATGAATTTTCTGCGACATGTTTGAAGCCGGTGATTTTCCGGGTCATGTTTCTACGTCCTCAGGTTGAGGTCTAGAGCGAGATCCTGCGGTAACAATGGACGATCAAAGCTCAACCATTGATCCAATGGATCCGCAGACTCAATACCCATAGGATCCATGGTGCTGGTATATATATATATATACTAACATGACTGGGGTATATTGATTGGATCCATGTTACCATATATGGCAGCACCATGGATCCTATGGGATATAATTGTTACATCTGTTACTAACTACAGTAAACTAACATGACATAGCCATGGAATTCATCACCATCTTTCATTTCGGTAAATCAACCATCAATGGGCCATGTTCAATAGCGAACTGTTAGTCACTACCTCACCAACTCACTTCCAGTTGAACCTTCTCACCATTAAAAACCTCTGGTCATGGCCTCGCCATGGCCATTTCATCATAAAATGGATGGTGATCACAATTGGCTTGGATACCATTAACATCCATTAACTTCCATTAACCAAATATACTTATAAGATCTTATAAGTACATAAATATATCATATCGAAATATCACGTTCAAAGAAACCTAGGCATATCCCGAAATCGGCCTTCGGTGCTCAGGAAGGCCAAACGTCGAAACCTGGGCCGAGGAATTTGTTGGATCAGCCCGCCACAACCCACCAAATGGATGCTGAAAATAACAATTTTATGCAATTCTCAAGAGTTTGGGAGGTTTCACTTTGGTGATTTTGATTTATACTAATCTATACTCAAGTATGAACTGACAGAAACCCGACCTGATTGATTATTGATGGTTGAGTGACCCAACTGAGGCTAATTCCTCAAAATCAGACCGTAAAGATCTGTAAAGTAAGAACTATGTGCAACCGATCAGATTTGGATGTGAGTCATGTCTCTTGTGTACCTTAGCACATCTGAAAGCTATAACCAAAGATGGAGAATTTTCGCTGATTTTCCGATGCTTATGACAACCACAAAGGTAATAAACCATGGTAAACCCAGTGGTAAAATGACCCCAGGTCATGGTTGGTGAAGGGGATGGTAAACATGGCATTGGCTTTGCCACATTACATGGGTTTGTCTGAAAATAGTGTACCCCTACACCCAATGGTTAATGATCATTATCCCTACTAAATGGCTATAATTGGGGGTATACCCCATTTTCAGACATACCCACATCATGTTACTGTACATTCTCATTTCCCAGACTTGGTCGTCAGTGTGAAAGTTTTTACCATCTGGTTATGACTAACATAACCATGGAAAAACACCATGCTATTAATAGGTAAACCATCTATTTCTATGGGCCATCTATACCATGGCTATGTTAAAAATAACCATAGGATAATTCAACTGGCATCATTTTGGACCCAGCTGCTCATTTTTTCGGAAAACATCGGAAAAGGCCCCAAGTCCTGATCCACCCGATGAAAATCATCGCCTGTAAGCACTCTCGGGATCCATTGGCATGGAAGAGTTCTCCGCCAACTGTTGCGACTCCTAGCGGTTTCATGTGGAATTTTCCCACCTACCAAATCAATGCCGGCAAACACTTTGGCGAGTCTTTTTTTGTCAACCCGAAAGCTGAATCCAACAACAAAAATCAAGATTTGATCCAACTCAACCCGCCTCGGTTGGTGAGAGACTTCGGAGCAAAGGAGTTTCAAGCGTCAGGGGGGCCCCATCTTCCTTCGCAGCGGGGTCCCGAGGATGTGTCCCAACATGGGAGTTGAAGCAGCGCAACGACCAATGTGGGATGACCAAAATGGTTCCACCAGCTAGGCTCAGAATGCATCAGAATGCCAGCTTGGGATATCAACTGCATCAGAATATGAATGGTTTCACAAAAACCAAGCTGAGCCTAAATCTCCATGTTCTATAGCCTATTCAGCCCATATAGGCTTGCCTGAAAATGGGGTACTGGATGGTACTCAAGATTGGACTGGGACCTATAATGCCATAGCGGCTTTAATCAGTTTCATATAGTCTATATATACTGGTTGGTGCTTGACCTACCCCTCTAAGAAATATGAGTTCGTCAGTTGGGATGATTATTGCCAATATCTGAAAAAAAATGAAATTCCTGATCCAAACGACCAACCAATATATTAATTATATTAAGTATATGTATATATATATATATATATGTTGAATCCCCAAGATCATTCCCATGCCTCTAAAGCATTTTCCCCCCAGTGCTACTGCCGTACCAGATCTCTCTCATGATCTCTGCCGCCGTCAACGCGAAGAGAGGTAGCAACGCCGTGGCAAAGGCTGCAGTCGTGGCGTCCAATCCAAAGCGCTGAACCAAGGCCCCCCCTGGCTGGAGAGATACGGACTTTATATGGGCATCATATTGATCAATACAATATTAATCAATTAGACAATATTAATCATGGTCCCATTAGATCTCATATATCTCATATATCTCATGGATATCATATCATATCCCATATGCTCCATGTATAGTATATTTACCTATATTTGGGCCATGTATGGGGTAAATGGTGGTAAATATTCCATACATGGAGCATATGGGATATGTAATAGCGTATAGCATTGGAAATTGGTACTGTGGGAACTATGGAATAACCGAAAAGAATGGAAGTCCTGCCATGAAAATTTTACATGTTTAAGGGGATCTAACATCTCAAATATTATATAATATACAATTATAATATTGTGTGTATATATATAAATATATATATATTGTAGATAATATGTATATATATATATGATATTGGTGATTGCCAATTGGTACCTCTTCCAGGCCATGTTTGATTGATTGGCTCGCCAAAGGAGTCAAATTTCCACATGCTGAAAACATGCTCGGTTGGAGGAGGGCAACAGGGCAACCTGCAGTCAGTGACACGAAAATCCTCAATAGAAAAACAGTGATGTAGCATAGAACAATTGATTCTCTTAATGCTAGCCACACAAAAAACCCTTAATATGAAAAAGATCTCAACAATAATCTTAATAATAATACTGACAAAATAAAAATTAGGATATGCCTGCAAGTATCCTAACCCCAGTCAGACTTGAGAGCCCGAGCCAATCCGCTGAACCCTTTAATGGGGGCACCTGCGATGGGACCCATGAATTCGCCACCGAACATGGCCATCATCAGCAGCAATGAGACTTGTTCAGCAGCTGCAGCTCCTACAGCTTGAGAAATCTCAAGAACATGTAGGAAATCCGGCACCCTCCGGCGTTTTTTCTGCTTCCCAACTCTGGAAGCGCAAAAAAACAACACTAGCTATGGGGATTTTTTGGCTATAGAATCGTGTGCGTTTCCGCGTTTTGGAAGAGGACTTAAAGTCGTCTGCCAAATGCCACAAGATGGGCTCTATCAGCCCAAAATGGCCTCCAACATAACGCGAACGTGGGCTCCAAATCCGCTCCCCTTCACATTAAAGATATCTCAATGCCAATAGGCTAATAGAGGAAAACAACACAGCCACAAAAAACATGGAAACACAGCAAACAAGAAATTATTGCGTATGTTTGTCATGTTCACGCCTCTGCCAAACCTAGAACCTAAGTTCAGTGTTTATTGGCCCTATGTTGTAACAGTGGTGCATTGCATTCCTGGACGTTCCAGATTCAGCCCACTTTGGGTTGGGTTTTGGTATATCTGGAAGGATGCTGAGGATCTTTTGAGCTTGCATTGGGCCACAGGGTCTCATGTTAGTCGGTTTTGGGACAGTTTGGCTTGGTTGGACCCTTTCCCTCACACCAAGAATTGAAAAAAACGCAGTAAATATCAGGGGTGTTTTTCCAGTGAAGAAATGATCAAATGGGTCCAATTGAGGTCCAGCAGTGGCCCAACACAGGCTACATGTGGTCAAAATGGCTCCATTTGTGCTCAACATAAATTAAACAGTGCCCCAAAACCAATCAACGAAACCAACATAACCCAAAAACACGGGCACAATAGGATTTCTAGGAGGATCTTGGAACTTTGTAAAGTCATGTAGAGTCTATACCTAGGATATCTCTCATCTAGACTTGACCAAAAAACAAAAACACACACACACACACACACACACCAGAAAAAAGGTGTACAATGATCTCACAAAGTTTAAAAATCGAAACGTTGCGAACAGGTTTTCTTGTGATGTAGTCACACGTTCTACTGTGAAACAATTCCGGTGCAGGCGGTTGACACACCAAGCTGCCTAGATGTCGGACATGGCTCTGCATCAAGGGCAGGCCCGGAATGAACATGAAGGCATTGCCGATGGAAGCAATGACCAATGAAAAGATTTGGCAGCTCCATTCCTCAGATGTTTGCTGCGCCAGGAGTTTCCTGTTGCAAGAAGGTTGCGACACTCCCATTATATGACATGTTTGGAAGTTTGGAATCAGGAATCAGAGAAAGCCAACCTATGAAGTCTACCTTCTCAACACAGAAAAAATGCCGTCCAGCAGCGACAACTCTGGAAGGCGGTTGATGAAACACAGCAGTTTCCACATCCACAACCCACTGCAGCGGTCTCAGTGTCATCCTGAGAGCAGAGCCACTTGAAGCCAAGCTCCAGATCTTGTGGAAAGTTCTTCAGTGTCTTCATCTTCCAACCACTTCCAACCCTGAACCCCTGTGCAAATGATCTAATTCCAAATTCTCGCTATCAATGAACTCATGATATCATGGTATCTAATCTTATCTAACATCATCTAGGAATCCAAGCCACAATTCATCCAACCATCCACCCATCAACCCAACCATCCAACCATCCACCCATCCACCCATCACCAGGTTTCATCCCCAGGATTGTGAAGGCGAATCCGAAGCACAGAAACGGCTCCAGAGGCGCCCTTTCCGCATGCATCGCCTGTGCACAAAGCCAGGAAGTCAGCAGGTAGACCACGCTGCGCAGGGAACCTCGGCTTCTTGGGAGAGAACATCATATCCCATGACGGATCCGGCTGGTGCTGGTATATTGATGGTATATTGATGTTATATTGATGGTATATATGCTAACATTTGATGTTATATTGATGTTATATTGATGGTATACCATATCATATGCCAACATGAATGGGGTATATTGATGGTATATTGATGGGATCCATGTTATCATATATATATATAGCAGCACCATGGATCCTATGGGATATGATATCTATGAGATACATGAGATATATGAGATCTAATGGGACCATGATTACCATGATTAATATTGTCCAATTGATCAATATTGATAGATCTTGATATAACAGAAATGGGACCAGCAAGTTAAGTCAAGTTATGCACGGATCGAATCACCTTTGGGGTGAATTCCTCAAAAAAAAATCGCCAATTTTGCGCCGTGGCAACTCACCGCACTGACCTCTGTCACCGGCATGGGCCCAAGGTAAGACTCCAGGTGCTGGGGTAAGGTCACGTCCACCAAACCTGGGGAATCGGCAGCGAATGCGGAGATCGAATGAAGAAAAAATGGGCCCCTCAGCAATGAGACCCCATGGCCCATAGTTATTAAGATCCAATACTAAACCAGGGCGTCAAATTGACAACGATTCTACTACAGTAAACTACAGTACAGTAGGTGCATTTAAGATGGCATTTAAGATCTTTCAAGATAACACTGATCAAGAAATATTAAGATGACTCAGCAACAAAAAATGTTTTATCCAACAACTATACAGAGAATTCAAGAAGAACATGGGTTAATGTAGCAAATCAATAGGCATATGGCCGATATTCAGGCTGTGCTCTCAAGTTGTCTGGCCCCCAAATCATCCAACGTTTCCGCGAAATTTGTGAGGCTCTTCCCCACATTCACATGGCTAGCTTGAAAAAAAGACGCACCATTTGTTGGGTGTCGCTGTTTGGAATTTTGAGACTTCCAGGAGAAAATCCTCAGCGTCTCACCATCTCATCCCAACACACAGCGGCCTGTGGTCATGTAGGCCGAAAAGACCCCAGAGGTAGCCAGCCAGATGCCAGGACAGCAGAAGCTTTTCCAGGGAACTTTGGCTTCGCAACCTTTGATGGCCATGGGCCGAGCTTATGGACCAGAAATTGGCTGGCTGGTTGGTGGTGGACCTGGCCCTCTGAAAAATGATGGAGTGAAAGTCAGTTGGGATCATGAAATTCCCAACTGAATGGAAAAATAATCCAAATGTTCCAAACCACCAACCAGCGTTTGTTGGTTTATAAACCATTATAATCCCCATTAACTATAGTTATATCTACCATAAACCACCAACCAGCTGGATACTCCATCTTTGAATCTTCTTTTTTTCCAACCTCTCCCAAGTTTTGGGGAAAACAATGGAACTCAGCACCATTCCCAGCCTTGTCAGATCGGGGAACTTTCGGCGATCGAAATAAAAAGGCCCTGCTCCCCGTTTTTGTTACTCGGTGATAACATCTTATAACCCATAGGATCCATGGTGCTGGTATATATGCTAACATTTGGGGTATATTGATGGTAAATGTTACCATATATAGCATACATGGATCCTATGGGTTATAAGATGTTATAAGCCCATTTGAATAGGCTATGAGAGACTCTGTCATAGACTGTCATAGACCATCTTACAATATCTCCTGAAGCCACAAAATGACCCCAGTTTTTATAGGCCATTCAAGCCAAAAATACCCCGCCATTGCCAATCAGCAGCCATGGTCACCATGGTTGCCATGGTCAGCATGGTCAGCAGCACGGTTGCCATGCGATACTATCCCGCGGTTCTCGAAAGAGAAACCGATGATGCCGCAGATGGTCAAACACCTTGGAAAGGCATGACATATTGGGATGTATCGAGAATTTCGGAACACTTTTTTGTGAAAATGTATCAAAATGTGTTCTCATATTTCTCATTTGGGAATGTGTCAGAAATCTGGAACCATGCTCTTTGGGGATAATCATGGATAATCCAGTTTCGATCTTTCTATCGATTTCTAACCACAAAACTGAAGCATATGGGTGCCGGGCAAGCCTGGTACCCATCTGGTAGCCTGTTGAACACAATAGCTGCTGTTACTGCAGGTCCACCCCTGCCAGAAGGTCCCCCTGGCAAAAACTTGTTCCATGCAAATATCATCCTTCATCGTTATATAGCAACCCCGGCAACCCCGTAAAAGATAGAACAGTGTCCAGGATGTTATACTGTAGATGATATATTTACCACATATTTCCAGGTGTCCCACTTTTCGATAATTCTATTTGGATGTTGCTATCATAATTATGATATGATTTATATGATTTCCCGTCCAGCTTTTCAATGACACACCCCCAAAACTATACATTTCTCGGCTCACATAAACCTCAAGCATCTTCAACCATCTACCATCCTATATTTCATTATATTTCCTATCATCTAAAATCATCTAAAGATCTTTAGATAAAAAGACCTATAAAAACCATAGAAACCTATGGTTCTTTCATATCAACATCTCCAGAAAATCATCACATCACCAGCTCTCCCATGACCCCATGCGGCCCATGCGGCACACTGCGGCGCTCAGAAAGGGACAGCCGAAGCCGCCCAGGTCGTAGAGGGCTCCGCCAGCGAGGCGCCCCAGTTGGGCACCGAAGCCAACAGCCACCTCCGCCATACCCACCACGTAGGCCACGGCTGACGCGGAGGGGAAGCCCGGAAAAGGCTGCACCGGTTGAGGATGCCTTGAAATCTGGTTTAGATGATGTTAGATGATGTTAGATGAGTTAGATGGCTCTTCAAAATGTGAAAACATGTGAAAACCCTGGACATGACGAAGGTTCAACAAAAAGAAGAGACTTGGATGGTTTTTAGAAAATGAAGTTTGTTGTTTACTGGCCATGAATTGGGGGTATATACCCTATTTTCAGACACCCGGATCTCAGACCTAAGATATCCTAAGATGATGGGTTGATGGGTATTGGGATCTAAGCTTTTGAGATCTAAGTCGGCTCAGAACAGTGAAATATTCCCATTTTTTGGGTGGTTGTTCAGCAGAAAATACCCATGGTTTGAGTTTGAGGCAGAAGAATGTGGTTTCAAGATCAAAGAACCCTGAGTGGGATGGCAGTGGATGTGGATCGCTCCAGCCCTAGATCCCGGGAACGCCAAAAACGAAGCCGGAAACACTTCACGAATGAGAAAAACTCACTGACTCATTCAGGATGTTCCATCCATGGAGCATTGCAGAGTTTCTTGCGATTTCTGAATGGTCACTGGTGATGTCACTGGTGATGCGCTCTCCGGGATCTCGCCTGTGAAGCGCCGCGAGATCAAGGTGGTGTTGGCTGCCATATACAGAGCATATGCCATGCCCTGAGTGAAACAAATGCTGGTCACCGCCAGGAAGACATCACCTGGTCACAGGATGTCACAGGTCATGGCAGGTCAGCTGCCAAGTTCTGGGGAGATCCCGCCTGTGGAGAGGAAGCGCTGCAAACACGCCATCAGGAGGCTGGTGAACGCAATGAACTCGGAGCGAGCAGTGATGCCATGTCCAGTGACTGTCCAGTGGCGGTTCCAAAAACAAGTCCGGTGCCAATTCAAACGGGTGATTGCTTGAATCCCGTCCAGCAATTTATAGCCAGCCAGAGTTTGCAGGTGAAGTTATGACATGTTATGACAGTTATGTACATCCTCCATGTTGGTTTGAAAGCTGCATTTGTTCAAAAATCGGATCCAGCACTGAGCTCCCCCAACCAGAAGCGAGACAGAATGAAAATACACGATACGTCGACTGTTCCGAGCCTCGGCTGAAGCAATTTTTGCGGGCCCAAGAGGACCTACTTGGTGGCTCATTCCACTTAGTAAGTGGGTTATAACCCCAGTTATAAGTGGATTAACCCTACTTATCCCATTTATAACTGGGGTTATAAACCCACTTACTAAGTGGGATGAGCCACCAAGTAGGTATCGATCCATCCCATATTCCCATCGAGTGGAGAGGATCTGTCGTGATGCGTCGTGGGAGACTGCCACAACTGCCAACAACAATCGGATCCGGCTGGTGCTGGTGTATTAATGCTAACATGACTGGGGTATATTGATGGGATCCATGGAGCACCAATATATATATATATATAGCAGCACCATGGATCCTATGGGAATAAGAAACACATGACTTCCCGACTTCCCGACTTCCCAGCATTCTTGATGTTTTTTGGCATTTTTTCAGATCTGTAGCCACTGTAGCCATGCAACCAGACTCGCGGCAATGGGCGTTGCCATGCAGGCACCCAACGGGGTGGAAGACATGACCTCGATGCATTGGAGGAGCCTACGGTTTCTTGCGACATTCTTCGCCAAAATTCAGTGGAAAATACTCAAAATATTGAGCTGAGAATCGTCTCTTCCAAACAGTTTAAGCATAAAGCCCAAAGTCTTGGTGTGGTTTTGTGGTCTTTGATGTTGCTGGCATGTGCCATGTTTCACCATTTGCTGCAATATGATGCGATTGAAACTCCGAATGTGGCCGCACTTCTTGTACAAATTCCCCTCATTTCTGCTGGCTTTCCCCCCAGTTTGCGTCAGAATTCACCACTGAACATGCCATCTTTCAGCCACCAAAATGCCATGACACCATGCCAATCTGGGTGGAACTCTGCCCGAACTCCCGCGCCATGACCAGTGGCAGAAAGGGCGTCGGCATGGCGCGGGTCCAAAAAACTAGACCTCAGTGGAGATCATGACATTTTATGGGAGTTTTAGCAATATCAATGGATTGGTTTAAGGGAAAATTTACAGGAAACCCCCATATTTTATGGTAAAAACCATGGTTTCCTGCAGATGTTCCCTCAATCTAATGACTGGACAATAGTAAACCATAAAGAAAATATCGTACCATCATACCTGTCATACCCCAATGGTGAGAATACATATCATACCAAAATGACAAATTTGATGTGTTTTTTTTTGCAATAAACATCAATAAAACATCAAGAACATATGTGTGGGTGGTTTCACCATCAAAATATGATGGTGATTATTGCTGTGCAAACATTAAAATCCAGTGCTTGGGCCGTCCGTTTAGGGACCAGCAATGATGGACGCATCACGAGGATTTTGCAGACAGCATTGCTACATATTGCTACACTCAGTCGCTACTAAGTCCTACTTTCCTGCAGGTATCTCATCACTGTCATTCCTATCAAAAATGGTGTTTTGATGTGTTTCTGATGACAACTTTTTGGACTAACTCATGGTTGCAAACACGATCAGCAAGGTCACCAGACTGGATTCGATCAAGGCAGCCCAGGGACCCGAGGCGAAGAGCAGATAGAAAAACAGAGCACCACGACTTTCTTCCTTCGCTTTCTCCTCCATGAACGGTGATTTTTACATTGGGAACATGGGGCTGTGGATGGTTGCGACATCCTAAAAAATCACCAGTTAGGTAACCAAGTTGGGAACTATATGAAAAACTGCAAATAATTCGGTTATCATGGGATAACACATCTATCAACTGGTGCAGGATTTCTTCCATCCACAGTATGTTTCCTGCCATTTGATCTGTGATTCCCTATAGATCTGAACGCACATCTAAACCTTTCAGCAGGCTCAAATCGCATGTCTCCTGGCAGATCATCCAATTGTTTGCAGGGCTACAATGGTTGAAAAATGTTGAAGCCTGATTTTCGTGTATATATAATTATATAAATATATAATATAGAATATAATTATATATTATATAATAATATAGTTATATATATGTCAATATATTAATATCTTATTGGTTAAATCCCCAGACAGCATTAGTCTGGTTTCAAGTTCAGCGCTCCAGGGCGAGCCTCACCAAGCACCATCACGCGATATCACGCGACTCTAAGCCGAAACTGAGCTGATCCGCCGGCGGCAACGAAGACAAGTCATGTCGCAACCAAAACTGGTTTACTGGTTGGTGGTTGACCTACCCCTCTGAAAAATATGAGTTCGTCAGTGGGGAACATGACAATCCATGACTGAAAGAATCTGCAGAATCCCGTTCACCAACGTGCGTATTATCTTACTGGTGCGTTTTACGTAGGGAATGGATGGGAATGGAGGGATGGGATGATTATGAAACTAGTGATGAAATGGATCATTCCCAAAAATTCCCTACTAAGCACAAGTAAGAAAATATCTGCAGATAAGGCACTTGGCAGCGCCTCCCTATAGATAAGACCCACATCCTCTGTAAGTCTAACAAGAACAGGCCATTTTCGCAGTCACAGTTTCGAGACCTGCCATGTGTTCTTCCTCCAGTCAGTACACTTCAGGATCTTCATCTCAATGGATTGGTTTGTGGGAAAATTTACAGGAAAACCCCATATCTAATGGGAAAATCTATATGGTTTCCTGTAATTTTTCCCCTAAACCAATCCATTGATCATCGCTTTTTCCAAAATTTCCGGTTTCAAATTTGCTAAAACCAAACCCCAACGATGGAGGATCCCATGTGGCCTATTGCCATCTACGGTGAAACTGATCCTCTCTGCTTCACCTCGAATCGTGGCACTGGACCACCGAAATGAGTGTTGCTGTTGGAAGTGAAAATGGCATATAATATCATACAATATCATATTACATGGGATTATATGGGATTATATGGGTTGATATATATATATATATCTCCTTATCAACCCATATAATCCCATATAACTTTGGTCTTCGGATGTTTTCGTTTTTTTTTTTTTCGGCTTTGGATCCAGAGTTTTGTGTAGAAATTCTCGAATTATCGTTCTCCAACTTCCCAGAATGACTCAACTAGACATTGAATCTTTCTCTGGATATTCGCCAAATTCTATGAACCGACAGAAGAAGGTCGATACAGCTTTGATAGATGGGAGACGGTGAATATCAAAACATACCAGCAGCTGTACCGACAAGATTCCCTGTACCGACAAGTACGCAAGATTCCCCATTTCAATCACTGTAACTGTCTGATTTTGATCAATATCAATGCTAGCATCAATTCAAATATACATATAGAATACAAACAAAAACTATAGGAATATATATATATATATGCATCCATGTATAGATCTAACTAGATTGAGATAAATTATGATCAATCTATATTTTCTGGATGTTTTATAGAATATATTGACATATCATAAATAGACTACTGTACTGTTATAACATAGTTTCTATTGATAAACTACCCGTTCACAAAATATATGGATTTTCATATGGGGGCTTTCCCCAAAGTCATGGGGATATCCCCAGTGATCATCTACAAAAACATAGCTGGTTGGTGGTTGAGCCATCCCTCTTGAAAAATGATGGAGTTCGTCAATTGGGATGGATTATGCCCAATGTATTATGGAAAAAAAAACTCATGCCATGTTCCAAACATTTCCAAACCACCAACCAGACTATGACTTAATTTACCACATTTACCTATTATAAACCTTGATTATGGTATACAGTCCCAGCACTGTATAAGAATTCCTTGTATAAGAAAATCAGGGGCTGGATTTGTTTCCAGCGTAGATGTTTTGTGGAATGCATATGGAAATGGGAATTAAGAAATTCAGGGACCCTGGAATCTTCAAGCCTAAGATTTGGATGTGTGCGAAGAAATTGATGGGCACAAGAGCAGGGTGAGGCGCAGAAAAACAGTTCGGGTTCTGGAAAAACAGACAAACAACCTCTTGCATGGCTAAGAAATTGAGGGACCTTCGACTGATTAAATACACATACATACTGAAATACATGGGCCCTTTCCGTTAAGAAATTAAGGGACCCTGGCCATCGGCGACCAACATTCTTATATAGCGCTCGCGCTGTATTAAATAAACCCATACATATGGATAAACCAGAGTTTAGCCATATGAATTCCATGAATTTCTCCAGCTATAGGATTGAGGCACTGGTGCGGTCGGACCCCGGTGACCAGTTGGGCCAGCTTCTGCTCCTCGAATTCGGGGCTGATGTGGCACCCAAACCGGTGAATGGATAGGTATGTATGGTTTTACCACGGAAAATGATGGTTTTACCAGGGAAAATGATGGTTTTACTACGGAAAATGATGGTTTTACTACGGAAAATGATGGTTTTACCAGCCAAAATGATGGTTTTACGAGGCTGTTCACCATGAAACACGGTGTGTGAATCTTAAACAAAAACATGTTGGCGTTCAGCAATGAATGCGATCCGTGATTTCAGCAGAACGGCAGATGGCAAATGGCAGCACCTCTTTGAGATGCAGCAGCACACGATAACGGGCCTCAGCACTGTCGCAAGCAATCCCATCCCATTCATTCTGGGTAAATTATAATAATTCACCAACCTGAATTAAGGCCATTTGGGGATGATTTCCCTTACTAACCATGATTCCAGTGAGGTCACAGTGAGGTCGTTATAATTTACCCAGATTCAACACCGGTGGATGTAGGGGTGAACTTCAAAAACATCACTGGAACCGGACCAATTGGATGAGAAAATCGCTGAACATCGCCATGGATTCGCCAAGGATTCATTGATCCTCATGATTCATGAGTGATTCCAAAGATCTTTCCACAACGACAGGGGGACACACCCTGCCATGACCCCCCCCAGACCCAGAGCTAAGACTGCCACATTGTCCACCAAGATGTCTCCCACAGTGTCAATCAGGAGAACCTGAAAAAAGGCGACACCCGGGTGAGTTTGATGTTCATCTGGATGACCTGAAAAGATGACCTATGGATGACCTGAAAATTCATGAAAATTCCTGAAAATTTGTGACCCCAAATCCAGGTGGAACATTGGGATCCTGCTTTTGATGATGGGTGAAATCACCAAAATCATGGCTGCTTTCAGATCTTTCAGCACTTGTAAAACCGCAGAAACAGAAACAGCCACTGGCTGCCGGGATCATCATTCTGTCCAAAATACCGACATCCAATTAACTTCCAGCTGATTCCATCTGCACCAGTTGTTGGGTCTATTTTTGGGTTTCCCATCTTGGTTGAAGTTCATAGGGCCATAGGGTTGGTTCTAGCCTAATCATGGCTTTTTACATGTTCTTTGGCGAAATCCCAACACGTTTTTCGTCGGACATGGACGGACTATGGCCTATGGGATCCAAGGCCATCTAATTTCAGTTGATGAAACCATCCATGTCCCATTTCCCCTCCAAAAAACATAGAACTGGTTGGTGGTTTTTTGCCACCCCTCTGAAAAATGATGGAGTGAAAGTCAGTTGGGATCATGAAATTCCCAATATAATATGGAAAAATAATCCAAATGTTCCAAACCACCAACCAGATTCATACCCATTCCAATTGGTGGTTGTCACGCCTCCGTCTCTTCATCGAAGGTCACTCGGGTCTGCACCTTGGCTTATGATGATGATGATGATGGTGATGATGATGATGATGGTGATGATGGTGATGATGATGATGATGGTGATGATGGGGTACATCAAGAAAGACCATGTGGAGATAAGGATTTACTTGAAAAAAACTGTACCACTTAAACATTGAATATACCAAGACTGAACAGCAACACGAATTGTCCCTTGTTCTCAGCATTTTTCCCTATGCCGCGATGTCCAACCCTGCAATTGCCGGTGGACCATATGGCGTTACCAAGTGCAGCGCTGGCGGTCGCATTTTGTCTGGTGACAAAATCTCCAAATACGGCGCCCTCTCGTCGATCTGCAATACGGGGTCCAAGAGATGGGTATGTCTTGGGGGGCAAGGTCAATAATATGTTTTTTTTTCTTCTGGTGAGAATTCATTGTCATCTTGGATTAACGGTTAACCCTGTTGTGCAACCCCAAAGACGACCTGGGGCCATCAGATTGCTTTGATCTTGCTAGTGACGTTCAGGGATCGAGCTTGTCCTTGGGGGGAAGCGAAGATTCAGAATGCGATGATCGTTTGCTGCCCACCTCACTGCAGGTGCTTCCACTTCCATTGTGCAACAGACCTCTCCCCTCTAAATCACTTGTGCAAAGATATGCTGTTGCCCTAAACAATGGCTGGTTGAATGGATGCCCAACTTTGATATTTGGGATGATATTGATGAATATTGATGATATTCTCCGTCTTATCCAATCATATCCAAAGTTGGGCTTGGTTGACCCCGGCATCTTCTGGAGATATCCATCTCCCATGGGATTTCTTTGCGTCGATCACACAATGCCACAAAATGTCACTATCCGATAGCCTCGGAGACCTCTGCAATGCTGGAAGTGAGTGACTTTCGTCCCACCTGAAACAACATGAAGCAAACATTAAAACATATTAAAACCATAGAAATTTCTGAATCGATTCTAGTTATTTCTGAAATATCTATTGGAGTGTTTCTCGAATGAAGAAATTGGGAGCAATGTCCCGTGGCTGTAATATGATTCAATATGTCCCACAGCAATCGAGAGAGGTGTTCAGAACGGCCTGTCGTTGAAGTGAGAGCATGAAGGATTGGTACCTGCAAAATCGGCAAGCCCGGGCAAGAACTCATGTTAAACGAAACTAAAGTGCAAATCCTGAAACAGAAGCGTCCACAAAGCTAAAACGTTAAAACATGTTACAACCACACATATTCAGAATTGATTGTCAATTGTTTCATATTGTTTCCATGTATAATCATGTCATATCATGTAGACATCATTACCACCCAACCCTCCAAATATATATCTCCACATCAAGCGGCGCACTCCGCAATGCTGAGGAACTCCAAACTCATGGGAAACGGCCGAGCAATGTCAGTACAGACCTGTCCACTTGATGTTTGATCCTAGCAGTTTACCGGTGGAAAACTGTGGAAAACCCAATCATAAACCGCCCACCAGTTCGCCAAAGTTCACCCGCAATTGCGAAATTTTGAAAGATTGGAGATTCAAGGTTACTATTGCTTGTGGCTTGTAGCACAGGTGTGTTATGTATCAACAAAAATGAAGGGGATAAGTTGCTTGTTTCACCCTGAAATCAGGCCTTTCTTTACGATCAGAAACTCAACTTAAAAAATCAACAAACAAACATGGTTGGTGGTTGACCTACCCCTCTGAAAAATGATGAAGTTCGTCAGTTGGGATCATGAAATTCCCAATATATGGAAAAAATAATCCAAATGTTCCAGACCACCAATCAGAAACACCAAAATCGCTGTGTTTCCCTCTGATGTTCATGAAATCTTGGAATTTGTTCCGAGGCCGCACACCAACGGCACGCGAGGTCTCGGGATTCCCGAAGCCAGTGGCTTTGGATCCGGGACTCAGCACAAGCTTTGAGTCATCCCAGTCATCCCCTTGAAAAATGGCTGGAATCCATGGCGAAAATGACACCTCACTTGATGGTGATTTTCATATTTTTCATGGGAAAGTACAACTGGTATTACTTGGTAAACCAGTGGATTTACAGCAAGTTCATGAATGGTTTGACCATTTGACCTCACAGACCAAAAAAATTTGGTGATGAACCATTGGGTTTGAAGGGAATCCTATCCAAACTGCACGGATAAACAATTCAACAAGACGCATGTGTCTGTCGTGGTGAAAATATGATGATAAAGAATGACACATTTAGATTGGAATGTGTAGTGGTTTGTTTCGCTCCCGAAATCGGGTCATGTGCCATTGCCCTTTTCCTTGGGTCTGACTATTCACCCATCTTCTTACATCGCAGTTTTATATGCGTTGTTTCTCGTCGGCCTTTTGTGGCAGTACGCCAGTACGCATGCATATACATATATCATAGATGTATAATCATGTATATTACATATATTAATGATATGATATTACATATATTTATATGATAATATATGATATGATATGATATGATATGTACAATATGATCAAAATTTGAATGCAGTGCACTCCGTTGCCAGTTTTGGCCCATGTTTCCGACATCTCGGCATCTCGGCACCCCCACGCCGTACCGCCGCAAAGTTCCGCTGGCCCAGCTCCCCGATGCGTGGCACCAGCAGTAGCACCTGTCCAGCTGCCACTCCACAAGCCTGGCTGCAGCTGAAGTTGGGAAACATGGAGGTTTCCTGAGGTTTCCTGAAATAGGACCCCAAAATCCTCCATTTTTTATAGGATTTTCCATGAAACCATCCAGTTTAACTGCGGGAAAATGATGAAAACAAATTGCAAGTCAATTGTAAAATGAGGGAAACATGATGAACTTTCACGAACTTGAACTGAGACCAAGATGTGGACAACCTATGTTTTTTTTGGATGAATTTGGAGTCATTGGAGACTCAACATCGGAAAAAATGGGTCATTTTGAAACTGGTCATGTTCACCTATAGTTCTATGGTCTTTATGATGACAGAGAGTTTCTTGAGGCCTAAAAATTGCTGGAGATTTGCGCAGACCAAAAAAAGATCAAGGGACACTTTGACACAGCCAGTACCTTGGGAATGTGGGTAAAACAATGTCATAAACCATCACCCAGTCATCAGCATTTTTTGGTTGGTGGTAAAACACATGTAAAAACTACCATTCCCAGTCATCACATCCCTTCAGTCTTGCAGACTTGCCACGTACCTCCAGGCTTCGTTGGTCTGGGAGTGGAGCACCATGGCGCATCAAGCGTTGTCGTTCTGCCTCACGGTGAAGTTGACGTGGGACGTTTCATCATTTTTCCCCACCATGCCAACAAAAAGTAATGGATGTTTACCAACCATCATCAAATTCAGCAGCAAAAAATGATGTCATGTTTTTTTGAGAAATTGGTAGTGTTAGAAACAAAATGGGATGTATCAACTCAGGACCAACGGTCTCTTGAAGACAAGATTTTGATGCTTCTCCATAAATGTGGATGTTGTTAACTCCCCGGAAAGCTTGGTTCCCTGAAAGAACGGAGATCTCTACCAAGAATAATGTGGAATTTCACCAATGAACTTGTGGATTTTCATCTACTGGAATGGGCACTTGTATCAACAGGAGATGCGTACCAGAAAAAAATAGGGACCTGTTTTCTCTGGCCACGGAACTTTCACAACTCGTCTTTTGATCGAACTCTAATCCATTGGCTCACTCTAATCCATTGACAGACTCTTCCGACAAAAGAGAGAATCATGGATGAAATAATGAAATAAAATTATGAATCATCCAATTTATATTCTATCATCAATCATCCAATCATCTATGATATCTATGATCAAATTATGGATGCATAGACTACACTTAGTTCCTTACAGTTCTTCTGCATGGGAACGTACGCCTTCTGCTTAAAATTGGAAAGGGCTCGACCGCACACTTGGACCCGCACTGGCGTCCCCTCTAAAGTTGCTAAGCGTGCCTGGAGCCAGGGCAAAATGTTTTGTGATGAATGACCAGCAAATTCTTGTGGCTTACTGGCAGCCCACTGGCAGCCCACTGGGTATTTTTGGACACAGGCCATCACAGGCCCATTCAGAGGCCCATTCAGAGGTTGGTTTAATCATTTATTTTGTCATTTATCACATGTAACCGACCTTTTTCACAAGTACAGCTAGTACTGTAGGTGTTTTTCTCCTCAGCACGCCCCAAAATGGATGGTGGTTTTCCTTCGAAGAAATGTGTCGATCCAATGGTACAAAAAAGGCGTCTAACTTGACTCACAGCCGTATGAGGGTCAAATTAGATGGTATATTATGTTTATGGTCATCCTGGCAATCCATCAATCCAAACGAATCAGTGTCATATAATGTCATAGTCATAAATCCATGAAATTAGAATTATCCACATAAATCCGTTTTTTAGTCATCCCTATTTTCAAATAGGGATTGATAATCACCCCATCAATATGGACAATCATCCATGACCATGGCACCTTCACCTCTTCAATTGTATCACTGGGCTTCACCTCAACGTCCACTCAATGCGTCCATCGGGACTTCCGGGGGGCTTTTTTGAATGCGGAAAAGCTGAGGAAAAATAAAATAACAAGCCAGACAAGTTAAAAAAGGTGGTTTTTGTACCATCAGAAAGGTCGGATGGAAATGTCTTGCATCTATTGGGATTTTCCAATCATTTTTAGGAATGAGGTGCATGCAGCATCTGAATGTAATGGCTTTAAGCAAGCCGTTCGCATTTAGAGGCCTCCAACTGCAGAACAATCTCCGAGGGTGTTCGCACGAAGAGCTCAAACGGCCTGGTGTCATTAGAATCATTAGAATTGGAGATGGTCGCAGCTGATTGGGAAAGGTCATTTTGGGAATAATCAACCCCTGGTGAGATACATCCTTTTAATCCCCCTGTATCATCATGTATCAGTTTGGGGTGCTGACCTCCCTATAAATCAGCCAGGGTTCTTTGATCCATGCTTGACGTTTTCAATTTTTTTTCAAAAACAAAACCCCAACTCTCCCCAGTTTGGTGAGTTTCGTTTCCAAATCCTACACAGGTCCTAAGTCCAACCTGAAAACAATGACTTCATATGACTTCATATGACTTCACCAAAAAGAGCCATGGGAATTTTCCAACGATTCCAACGGTGGATCGATCTATCACTGGCTGCCCGGCAAATGTGCACCACCCATGACCTCAGAAGTCTAGCGAAAACGAGCACGGCTAGCCCCAAATTTGAACAGCTCTAAGTTGAGTTTAAACAGATTACAACATGAAACAACTAAGATTGTTTTAAAAAAACTCAAACATCTCAAATAGTTTTATTTTATGTGTTTCTGTTTTTTTAGTGAACTCTGGGCGAAGTGATCGTACAGATTGAAGCGGAAACCGAGCTTCGTTGCGCTGGTGGATCGCGCGGAGATGCAACTCTTGTTCCAAACAAGGGACAATGGTGATTTATGTTCAACCTGGCTTGGACATTTAGAGATATATGACATATATGACATATTAATGAGTATATATATTATACATAATATATGTATTATATATATAATATATATATATAAATAAGATTATATATATAATATATACGGCTGGAAATCTTGGGTCACTGCGGTGTTGGCAGCTGTGGCATTGCTGTGAGATGCTACAAATCTGGAGCGGCGTTTTTCGCAATAGGCTAGCGGCTAGCTAGTACAACAAGCACAACAACAAACACCACCTCTACAAGTAAAGCAACTTCACTGTACTTCACTCAAAACACTTTTTTTCGCCCATGAGTCTCTACTGTGGGCCCTGGGTGCATGTGAAACAACTATGGCGCTAAAGCGGTCTGAATTCATGTGGTCAAATCACTTTCCAAGAAAGGGATGAACATGTTCGTCCGAAAGTCAATTAGCATTGATTTTAGATGACTTTCTATATCTTTCTATCGGAAACGATAGGTTGCATGCTTTAATCTGAGGATAAACCATGTTTTTCACACTGAATTGGTGTGGAGAAACTGACTTGATTTGACCACATGGATGCGGTGCGACAGCATCGATGAACCTTGAGGACTCACAAACGCCTAGGCATGCGGCGAAGCGATGCGGCTTTCAGCCGAATCCCAGGAGGTTTGGGATTGTAGGAACATTAGGAACAGATATCATCTGGATTTATCTGGGAATGATGTTTCCATAGCATCTCAAGATATCTCGAGCATATGTTGGCAGAGAAAACTCTCAAACTGAGAACCATCCTATGGCAGTTGCAATTTCCAATCTGAAAAGGGCCATAGCAAGGCCCCTGCAATGTCGTCGGAAAAGTGAAAGGACATGAAAGGACAGTTGCCTCAGAGCAGCGTTCCTGGAAAATTCAAACCCAGAAGGGGCTGGTCGCCTGGTCGCCTGGTCGCTGTCCTGTCCAGCTTTAGCTTGGGAGTCACTGAGTCACTACTTTTGAGCCCCTTTTCGTAGACCTGGACTCTTCAGTAGAAATCAACAGCCATTTCCCCCTCAATCTCTTTCAAGCATTTCTTCCGAAGCTTGTGTCCACAAATGAAAGATCACCCAGCCATGGGTCAACGAAATTTCGCTGAATTCGGGTGATTTTGGACATCAAAATCCAACCCAGCACTCCCAGCAGATGATCAGTGCAGCCCAGAGGCCAGGGTTGCAAAGAAATTACTACCTTGGATGCATGATGCATGGCATATGCTGCGCTGGCTTTGAAACGCATTTGAGGTTACGTTGAATCCAAATGTACAGTACATCCATCCAGGTGTCTTTTTTGCCGTCAAAAAAATGGAAATTGCCAAAATGAAGCAAACATAAAAGAAGAACGATTCCCAAGACTGCACCCTGGTAAACTAACATAACTATGGAAAATCACAATTTTTCGTGGGAAAATTCACTATTTCTATGGTGATGTTCCATAGTTATGTTAGTCATTACCGTTCGACTATCCCAATCATCTGATCTCATCCTGCGGATTGGTTCAAGGCTTCACATGCAACCACATTCCTGCCATGGTTTTCGCTCCAACTGTTTACCAACCAAAACATAAAATTCTACGAGAAAAAAACTGATAACAACGAAACGATAACGTTGAACTACCTAAGTTTATCAAGGCTTCACATGCCAAAACACGTTTGAACAAAAAACAGCGTCCAAGAAACTGCCAACGCTGCGTTCCCAGGTCTTCGGTGGTTTTACCTCGACCGTGGAGTTGCGAGACGGTTAAATCCACAGGAGTGGGATGTGGATATCTTGACTCCTTGGTATTCAAAAGTTGGAACTAAACCAATTGAAACCAGATTTCAAACCAATTTCAGAAAAGGGTTACTTGTTCCAAATAGGGAATTTTTGAGATATTTGAGTCACACTATTCAACATACTGTAGAATTGTCCACCAATGTATTTCACTAAATGAAATGAGGTCATGAAAACTTGGTGAATGTGCCCAGTGCAGAACCATGATCCTCATCGTGGTAGATCGCGAATTTTTGCGACGCAAAAGGGGCCCCATTTTGCTCCGATTTTGTGACTTGAAAGAAACATGAACATCTACAGGTGGTCTACCTGGCCTACCCTCCAATAAACCGAAGGATTCCACAAAGAAATGATCTACAGGTAGATTCTGGTAGATTTCCCGTAGATTTTCCAAACTGATGTTCGTTTACTGGAGGCTATTCCTTAAAATGTCCAGTGTTCTGCCCAAAAATTCCAAGTTTTCGCTTTTTTCCAGCTCAGCTCCCACACTCACCGCCGGCTTGGGAGGAGGTTGGTTGTTCTGCGCGTGGTGATGCCAGGGGTGGAGCTGCCCTCTCATAATCAAAGATGACACTTGGAAATCCACTATAAATATGGAGGTTTCAATAGGAAAGTCATCTATAATCTGTAATTTTTTGGGATTTTCCATTTCCACGTTTGATTACCGGCAGGCAAGGCTTTGCATGTTTGTCTTCACCGTGGATCTGATCGGGGGTATGAAGTATGTGAAGTTCATCAACATATCTTCCGAATGGACACACCTCAAAAAAAAAACTTGTTTGGAGAAGAAAACTTGTTGGTACCCACTCGGCTATTTGTCCCAGTCCCAGCTGAAGGGCATAAGAATTTCATACAAGTCATGATTCATGGTAATATTCTGTTTCTCATTGCTTCCATCCCAACAAATCTCGAGCATATCCCTTGTTCACCAAACAAGCAGCTGGGTTTCTCTTAAAATGGAATAATACTCATGTTATCCCACTGGGTTTGTCGCTATTTTATCTTATTCTCCCTGAAATAACTAGCCATTGGCTGGTGGTATACACCCCAGTAGCTGCACCAACCGAGGTCGGCACATGCTGCGCATGCTGCGCATGCTGCATTTGGCCATGGGAGCCCTCAGGCTGAGGATAGTCATTGTAGTATCCTGCGCACCGAAAGAAATAGGTGATGAATAGCTCACTGAAATACACAATTTATACAGTACATGTATCTATCTATATATATATAATAAAGATATGATATAGGATAGAATGGTCCAGAAAAGCATCACCATATATCTGGAGGGTCGGAAAATCGGGGAGTGGATGCTCCAGGACAATTTACTGGATCAACAAGTGGGCTCAAAAATCGTTTTGCTGTCCCAGAGAATACCCCATATTTTGCTTGAAATCCGCATCTAAAAATTTGGCATTCCCAAAGTTGAAACCACCGAAAAGCCACCGAAACCCATCGAATCGAGGATCGCAACAAGGTCCTCCGTTCCCAGACCAGTAGAAGTTCTTGTCGCCACGGCCGCCGGATCCTTTGCCTCCTGCTTGCTTCTTGCTGCTGCTGCTGGGGGATGGGCTACAGTGGCTACAGCTTCGGGGATGGTAAAAAAAAATCCCCAAAGTTATGGATCTATCGATATTAATGCTGGTGAAGTAGTAATATAGATATAGATAGATTATACCAGTGTATAGATATAGATGGACCTTCTTGATGATGTAGTAATATCTATCTATACTGCTTGGTGGTTTTAACCATCTTGAAAATATGAAAGTCAATGGGAAGGATTATCCCATATATATATATATATATATATTATGGAAAATATGAAATCTTTGAAACCAACAACCAGTATATCTATATCTATATGCTGGTGAACACCAACCATCAAGTCATGAGGGTTTACCATACATATGTTCTAGTATAATAGTGGTATGTATGTTGATGTTCATGGATGTTCAAGGATGTTCATGGAAAACTTGGGTTACCCGAAACAATTCTTGTTGACGTTGACCCACAGCCAAATGTTGATCATCCAAAATTGTGCCTGAAATCCAGGTAAAATTTCGATCAATGGCTCAACTCATAGATTTCTTCTGACTGATCGAATTTTAGAAAAGAACTAGATATATCATATGACTGTTTCTTCTGGTGATTTGGAAATGAAATCTACCATATAAAATAAATATCTCCCAACAAACCGTAAAAAAAACGTAAGAAGCGGAGAAAGTTGTGTTGAAACCAACTCAGCGAGCGTTGGGCGCCTTTTCCCCAAAATGCGACGTAAGGGGCTGGCACCATTCCTTAGCTCGCTAAGTTCCGTCCAAAGAATTGCCGTGGAGATGTGGTGTCGCAATGTAAGATTGCTGACATCGCACCATGGATGGTCTGAACATGTTGGGAACGCAGCATATTTCATTGATGACCATCAATCATCATTTGATCATTGTTTGATCATCGTGTTCCCTATTGCTATGGCTATTTGAGTGGTATATCATGTTGTCAAACATCCTCAATATATTGTTTTCGATCTTACTGAAATAGGGCTCCACGAACCAGTGCACCCGGTGAACCCTGGCGTTGATGGTTAAAGCATGTAAAATATAAGGTATTGACTCCAAATTGACTCCAAGCATGTTGTTACATTGTGGTTGGTTGATTAGAACAATTGTAACTATCCAGAAGTATTGTATGAGGCTATATGATGTGTTATATATATCTATGAAATCTCGCCTCATAGTGGAACTCCCAAGCCGTTGATTGGAACACTGGAAATATGGTGGTTGGTATCAGCCAATCATCTACAGTACGAACTGCTGCAGCTGGGCATGATGAATATCCCAATTGTTTTTGGAACTTCAATTAACCCCAGATCATTCATAATTCTGGTCTTATCTATGCTTCTTGCAGCTTTTGTTAGACGGATCTATATATATATATAAACCTATTGAAAGCTATATCTGGAACTTCTAAGAAACCAATTCTTTTCTAGTAGTGCTGCACTTTAGGGCACTTTAAGGCATTTTGGAAGTTTTGAGTATTTTCGGTGTTTGGAGTGTTTCTTGTGGATTTTTGGTGAATGTCTTGTCGTTTTGTGCGGCTGTTTTGTGGGCAATTGGTGGTGTTTTTTGGAGATTGGAGTTTCAGGTAAAGTGTGGGAGAAACTGAGGTTGTACCGAGGATGCGTTT